CTGAACGGGCACGGCTACCACCACCGGCATGGGCGGCGGAGTCACCCGAGCACGTCGCTGACGTCATCCCTATTCAGCCCATTCGGTCTCGGGCTGCAGGGACTGGATGACGCATTCACACACGCTGCCTTCAACGGCAACGCGTTCACCTCATTCTCAACGTTCAACAGCTCGCTGGCCGGCCCCGGCAGCGCCAACATGAAGAGCACCACCACCACCACACGCATCGTCAACGGAAAGAAGATCACCACTAAGAAGTAAGTTTGATTACCCTGTAATTTCTATAGAAATGCATAGAGAAAACCTTTCTCCCTGGTTGGAAGCCCAATGAATCATAAGGTAGTTTTATATAAAATTATGTTTTTTTTTCGTATTCTTTACAGGATAACGGAGAATGGAAGGGAGACTGTGATGTCTTATGAGAATGGGGTCCTGAAATCAAAGACTGTAAATGGTGTACCTCAATCCCTCACGTACAGTTAAACTATCTGCGACGAAGACAACCAAACTCGATCCAAATGACAACCTGTACTCATATCTACTGCGCGAGTTACATGTTCCATTTATCATTTAGTTTTGCTTTATTTAATGTTATAGGTTCTCTGACATTGTAAATTAATTGCTGTAATTTTAGATATCGAGATGGTCAAAATATTAATTCTAGTTCTACCTAGACTAATGTCGCTTTTTACTTTAACTTGACATAAATTTGTTACTGCAGAAGATAAATACTGAATAAATTTTTTAAGTAGTTTGATTTGAATACTTTAAAAATATATGTGTTACGTTGTATGGCACACCGATTTTGATCTCAGTCTCACGAACAGATCCTTGCTTTTTATCTTATCTTGCGATAACTTTAGTGTTAGCGATCGTTCGCAATATTTTGTGCTAGTCGCAGACGCAAGCGCAGTGGCAATGGCGGGCGCGAGTGGGACTCTGATTGTGTGGCGTCGTGCGCCGCGTGCGATTGCCCCTACCTATTGGAAGCTCACGTAATTT